ATGTAGAAAACATAGGAGGTAATTAGACAATTAGAGTTTGAGGAAGAGTGAGCATTCAGGCAGAGAGCAGGATTTGCTTTTAGAATGAAGATAGACTCAGGAAAACCATCAGTAGCTGTCACGCATTCTGATAAAAGACTGTCAATTAATGTCAATGAACATGTCAATCATGTTCAATCTGTGCCTGATAGAAGTGGACATGGTCATCTTCAGCTGCTGAGTAATCACATCGCAGCTCTGCTTCTATGTCTTCATTTGTATTTAATGGTCTATGGTGATGTTAGAAAGAGCGCTCAACTGGGAAATGTGGAGACCTCAGTTCTAGACATTTTTCTTAATTTTAAGGGCCTCACTATCTTAGCCTGTGTACTTTGCAGTTGAAGTATATTTGCCTCATGAAAATTCAACAGATATTTATTAAACACTTCCTACAAGTGAGACCCTCCACTTGATGCCCAAACGATCTGACCCCTGCCTACTTCTGCAGTACCTCCTTGCACCCTTCCCTCTTCCCCCCACCCCAGACTAACTGCTGTCATCCAATTCTCAGAATTCACCAAGCTTTATCTGCCCGTGAGGCTTCTCACACGCTGCCCCTCTGCCCAGAACACTCCTTCTGCACTGCAGTGAGCTCCAGCCAGTTCTCCCCATGTGAGTCGACATGTCACCTCCTCAGGACTCCCTGGCCACCCACTCTAAAGTGACCCACCCTATTCTCTGGTGCATCTCCTATTGGTTTACTTCCCTGCATTCCCCACAGTTGGTATTTATTTTGTAAATGTATTTGTCTACAAATTTTCTGTCGGTCTCCTCCACTAGACACTATGCTCCATAAAGCGGGAGCCATGACTGTCTGATTCAGCATCGCATCCCATTGCCCACCCAATGCCTGGAACGCAGAGGTGCGCCCCAAGATGTGTGTAGAATGCGTGTTATAGGAGACTCAAAGTAACTTGCAATCTAGTGAGAGGAGTTAAAACAAGCAGAATGTTAATGTGCCTTAAGAGAACCATGAGCAAAATTCTCTGATGGTTTTCAAGAAGAATTGAGAGAAGGTTGTAGAAGGCTACTGCATAGGAGTAAGTGGAGTGCACATTCAAAAGGCAGAAGGTGCCATTGCTGGAAGGACCTTCTTCACCATTTGAGGAGTCTGAATTTTATTCGCAGTGTAATGGTACACTGATGAGTTTGTGCAGCGGAGGACCATGGCCTGGTTGTATAAAGGTCACTCTGGATGTTGTGCAGAGAGCAGATTGAAAGGACAAGAGTGGACACAAGGTGTTCTGAAGGTGTCTGGGAGAGAGCTCATGTTGTTGATGGAGGAGGCAGTGGAGGTAAGGAGAGGCAGACAGATTTACAATAGACTTGGGAATAGAATATAGGAATTAGTGATGAATTAAATGTGGAAGGGTGCAATCAAGGGAGGGCTCAAGAATAACTCAAGGTTCTGGGTTGAGTTACTAGTGGATGGAGATGAGCTAGATGGAAAAGATTAGGTGATGGAGGAGAATACGTTTGCAAGAGGGAAATCAGAAAGGAAATAAGCACTAATGACCTTATCATTGCATGATGGATGGACATTGTTGAAGATAAGGTCACAAAGTCTCTGGATGACTTTGCTTTCTGACCACTTCCTCCCTCTGCCACCACTTCAAGCAGCCCCATCCATTCCACTGCAAGTTCTTACATTAGGGAATGTTACCCACATGGTCTATACATCATAGTTACTCAGTAAGCACCAAAGTGAACCAAGATTAATTAACAGGCTGATTAGTTCTTGTCTTAATACTTCCCTATACATAAAGACCTAGTGAAGCACTGATTGTTCCTCCTTCTCCACTAACACATTGGGAAGATTTCCGCTGGTTATTAAGTATTCTGGCTTATATAATAGATCGTTAACTATGTCTACAAAAGCCAAATGCAGTACAGTGAGAAAGGGAGCATTTACCTATGTGATTTAGGTCCAGAACACATTTAGTCTGAAATAATTAGATCTCTCACAATACAGTAACTTATCTGAATAACTGCTTCCTTAGTCCTTTACTTTGACATGGACATTCCTGGAAAAGCTGACTGTCTCCTTGGCAATTCAGTGGATGCTATGCTAATTCTCCCCTGGATACTGGAGGACACTCTTCACAGTAATCTTTCTCTGTTTAAATAGGGTAAGCCACAGCCTCCCTTTTCCTAGGTTCCTTCCTGAATCTGACCATGCCCCTCAACCAAGCCTAACCACCCTTCTCTTATGGATCCCAGAGGCTAGGATTATGCCTGAGTCTCTAGGGCCAGAGCTGCCAGGACCCCATCAGGAATTGTTTGTAGCATCCCACTTTGTTCCTTTCTCAAGCATGGCTCTTCTCTCCAGGTTCCCTACAAAAATCAGTTAAACTTCATGAATTTGTTCCCCAATAGTTTTAAAATATGTAGTCGTTTGGATACAGGCCAGGAATGATTTTGCAATACATAAAATCTCAGGGGAAGATTTAACCAAGTCATTCAGTAAATATTGAAATGATATTGATGCTTTATGGGGGAGGGTTACACTTTTTTAGCAAAACGTTTATTAAACATGTGTGCTTTATTTTAGACATTGTGCTGGGCCTTGGGAATACAGCAAAGAATAAGAAAATGTCACAGTCTTTAAGGAGTTTAGCCTAATGAAAGGAGACCAACTGGTTCAGGAGCATAATGGTGGGGGCCCAAAATGTAGGGACTGACCAAGTCCGTCAGACTGTCAAAGACACTTTGTGGGGGAGACGCTGCCATGAACTATTTTGAGACTGACATGACTACAACGATCATCTATTACCTCTGATTTCAAATTTCACGTGTATTTTAAGATCCTTATTGCTCTCATTCATGAAGCCTATAATGGTAATTGTTACACATTTGAACTCATATATAATTGTGCATTAATAATTGGCATTGGTATCTCTTGTATATATTGAGATTCTACAAAAGCTTACTTTAGGGTAAAAAGGTTGTATTGCTCTGAAAATGTAGAAACACTGCTCTAGGTAATAGGGAGCTGTTTAAAGGCTCACAATCAGATCTTAGAATATTTACTGGGCCAGATGACTGATGGGTGTGGCTTGACACGAAATGTTTGCAAGGCAGAGCCTGGGCCACCTCCTGTGGTCTTGAACCATCTCCTCATCCCAGGACAGTCCTGTCTGACCTTTCCCAGGCCTTCTGAACCAGGTGTGGGAAGACATATTGGGGCAGAGAACGGAAGGCAGGCTACTAGGAGATTGCCAGAGGGACAGAAGAGACTTTGATTTTGATCTTGTTTGCAAATGATTGCAGATGCCAAGAAAGAAGCCACAACCCATCTTAGCCCGGTATCAGATGACTGCAAGAAAGCTCCCAATATGTATACCTAGCTGTGCCAGTTGTCAGTAAGGTACAAAAGTTCATGGTGTTGTGCAAGCAGAACGTCAGCCCCGGTAGATTGTATCAGGAAAAGTTACAGTCAGTTGAGTTATAACAAAGAGTTCATAGCCCCCCCAAACCCCTCGCCCATTTTTTCAAAATTCCTATCCTCATTTTTACCTGCCACTTACGTTATCATGGAGGAAACATATTATGTTTTACGAAGTGCGAAACTGGAGTTGTGTACTTTTCATGATTCAGTTGGAGTGAACCTGTCTGTTAGAAAGCTAGGTAGATAGGTCTTGAACTGCAGATAAAGTCTGGGCTAACGGTGGAGCTCTGGAGCTAATATCAGCTTAAAGGTGGCAGATGAAGTTGTGGTAATGACTACTCCTTGACAGTAATAGGGTTCAGTCTTTTTTACAACACTCTGTAAATTAATTCTTTTAATAATTACAACCAACTTTTTCAAATATTATTTTAAAATGTTTTGATTTAGGCTTCATTACTCTTCTCAAATTATCATTACTTATTATTCATTTCTGTTCTCCCAACTTGTAACTCCTCATCCCCAAGCTCCACTATTTTTCTTACTTGACTACTTTATTGACTAAATTTTATTTAAGATTTAAAACATTTCCCAAAGTGGCCTAAGAGTAAAGCCTAAGGAAATAAAAAGGTGTGAAAGGTCCAGGATGTTACACACTGCCAGTCAGATTTATGTATTTGGTTTTTCTTGGGCACTTATTGTGAATCAAGCACTGTGATAATGCTGGAGGCATGAGGGAGAGCAAGACAGAGTAGCTGCCATCAAGTAATTTACAAGAGGGAGAGTCAAGTGAAAAGTAAATAATAAACAACGTGACAAGTGCAGTGATCTAAACTTTCACAGTTTACTCTGGGAGCATCATGGAGACACTTGACCCTAAATCTGAACCCGTGATAGGTCACCATCAAGTATCCCCTTATTAGGTTCTATGGAGAATATAAGAAAGCAAGAGGCATAGTTGAGTCATGAAAATAAGGTATTCACATGTGAACATAATTATTCAAATCAAAAGGCAATGTATCAGAGTTCTCCAGAGATACAGAACCAGTAGGTTAGAGAGAGAGAGAGAGAGAGATATCTAAGGAGCCATATTTCAAGGAATTGGTTCTTGGGATTTTGGGGGCTAGCAAGTCCCATGTCCATAGGGCAGGACCCAGAAACTCTCAGGCGGGAGTTGATGCTGCAGTCTTGAGGCAGAATTTTATTTTCCTCGTGAAAACCTCAATTTTGCTTTTAAGACATTTCAACTGATTGGATGAGACCCACTCACATTATCAAGAACAATCTCCTTTACTTAGAGTCAAATTGATTGCTCTGGAGAAAACACCAAAAGGCTGACTGAACAACTTTGCCAAAGACATTAAGTGTATGACACATGGATCCAATCAACCATCTCAGCAGAAACCAGAAAGAGAGATGCGGTTATCCGGAAAAGATGTGTGGAGGGCGCTCGTGTAGATGGCTTGGGTCCCCATGAATTACACAGGAGACTGACAAGATTCTGAGAATTTCAAGCCACCAGAAATGTTGCCAGCCTGGACTGAAAGGCTCAGAGAAGGGGAAAAATGAAGAAAGAATGACTCTGCGGGCAGAGCCGTGGATGCACAGACCTGGGCGGATAAGACCTCCTTGGGCTACCGCGGTGGGGCTGCCACCCCAGCAGGCCGGGGGGACAGTGAGCTTACTCTTGCCCAGAATGATCCAGGAGCCTTCTGAGGTGGGCTTTGATGACAAACTCTGGAATGGTGAAGTGTCCTTCAAGATTTAGGGAAGAGGTCTAGAGGAAATTGACCCTGCTTTGAATTTAGATTTTACTCTTAGTAATAGCAAGATTTTTCCTTCCAGAGATTTGAACTATTATGTAACTAAGTATAATATATTTTCCTTAAAAATAATTAAGATAATATATAAAATATATATTATTTACATTACACACAGAGAGAAAATATATTAAAATATTAACAGTTGTTCTCAGACTTTAATTTCCCTCAATTTTCTGTTTCATTTTCTAGAATAAACTTCTTTTCATTTTGTAATGAGAAAAAATTTTTTATTTATAAGACAAACATTATTATATTATATTATATCATATCATATTATGTTAATCAAGGTTTTTTGGTGCGAAGTCCATTAGTGTATTAGCCTGGAAAGAGGAATGACCTGATACAAAAGACCTGATTTCTAGATTTATTGCTGCCTCTCGATACTTGGATTTTGGACGAGCCACTTAAGCTCTCTAAGGCTGTTTCCTGCCCCACACACCTCACAAAGTAGGTATAAGAATCAGATGAGATTATTTATGAAGACTCTGTAATTCTCAGTGTAAACATCAGGAATGATTATTTTAAAAATAATTTTAACACAATTGTCAGTTTCATATACACAAGTAATATGCATTTGTATTTTTTATTAAATAGGTATTTTATACTATGGTAACTGTCACAAAACATATTTATATTGGATCATAATAAAGTGGCATATTTATGTAGGATCCTGTAAAAATCCTCAATAGACTGTGACTGTTTACATTTAAGTGAAATATCATACTGTGTATCTAAGACAGCTTGAAAAATTATTTCAAATTAACAGATGTCATGTTTGGTGAAAGAATGTAACCAATACGTGCTGACATGAAAAAAAGAAAGTCAACTGATTGTAGATGTTAACTACATTTGCAAAACACCTTCACAGCAACACCTAGATGAGTGTTTGAATAACTGGGTACTGGAGCCTAACCAAGTTAACACTTAAAACTAAACATCACAGGCAGTATATGCTAATTGCCATGTTAATGGTGCCTGAAGATTGAAACATCAAATGGATTTGATGGTAAAATACAAAGCCATCCATAGACACGTGCACCTCTCCTGAACCCTGTCTCCCGCCTTCCCGTATCCCCTGTGTTTCCTCATCCCACCTTGAAACTCTGCCTAAACTAGCATAGAAATACAATGTCTGGCATTTCCACCGTCATCTGACTGCTCTTCCTCTGTTGCAACTTTCCTTTTCAGACGCCAAGGTTTAGAGGTCAAGACACAGATTCACGTTGTCTCTCCCGGGCCATTATACCTCCGAAGTATTTATGTGTTCCTGTCATGTGAAGCTCTTCTCTCTCATTGAAAACTTGGATGGGGTTTATAAGGACACATGGGTGAAAGTGGACAGTGCCACTTACCAGCCTGAGTCATTTATTCCTTAACAGTGACAGGACTGTTTCTATCTATTAGATTATCAAAAGAATACTTTGTTTGACTTTGCAAAACTTGCATTAAATGAAACTGCAATCGGCCCCTGTTTTACTCGGGAACACTCGGCCGCGTCATAACATTTAGCAGCCCCCACCACAAGGCATCTTGAACATTTGCTTCTAGCCTGTTCATAATTTGTTAAAGACCCCCCTTTATTCAGCTTGCTGATACAAAATGAAATCTAGGTTTTCTTTCACACCATGTTCCTTAAATGTTTGCAGAAATTATGGTATGTGCATGCAGACGTGTGTTTATACACACGATATTTCTGTGTGTCGGAGTATGTGTGTGTGTATGATTTTTTGCAGAGGTTGTGTCATTGACTTTCCAGATTACTGTCATCGGGATAAAATAAGAATTGCCATATTTAACCTTAGCAATAAAACTACTGCCAAGCATTGCAATCTAGCTTTTTGGCTCTTACTGCTAAGATTTCTGTCTTCACATTTATGTTTCCTGTTAGTTCCTGTATCAATTTAGAAAAATGTAAAGGGTAGCTATTAAAAGATATCTGGAAGGTAAAATGAATTTGCTGTTCTCAGCAGAAAGGGCATCCACTGTTTAGCTTTCTTTTCCTAAGCAATCATTTGTTTTTCGACTTGCAAAATGAATTTTGAAACAATGCCACATTATGCCACAAATTATTAATAGGTACAATTAATACATTAATATATGTTTGATTTTGTCATCCTTCATTTCCTCTATGTCGTTCTTCTTTTAGTCTGCCATGACAGTTCTGTAATGGAGCACCAGAAATATGACTTTAGAGCAAGCCGTACCGCTAATCACCAGTATAGCCTCGTATGTTGTCCAGCAGATGTGTATTCCTGTTTTGACAACAGAGGTGATGTTCTGTAAAATTTCGTCCCAGAAAAAATGCTTTCCAAGATTCGTTTACAAGCAAAAAATTTAATGAGATGCTGAGTACGATCGTGAAAGGGTTGGGTTTTTGTTTTGTTTTGATTTGTTTTTGTTTTCTGCTGAGGAGGTTGTCACTTTAGTTTTAACCACAGGATACAGGGAGAATTGTTGAAGCAATCCAGTTATGTAAGCTATATATAAGCAACAAAAATGAGACTTTAGACCACTTTTCATTATGGGTTCTATAATTCTTCAGCTGTAATGGGATCGGCAAGCCTCCTCTAGATTGTATAACAGTTGTCACTTGGGGGTTCTTGGCTTAAACCAATACCCCCAGTAAAATAATTAATAGCTAGCTATATGGATTCCATCATGAATAACATTATAAACAGATCTATTAAACAAACAGTTATTCTTTCAAACTGGCACTTAACAACAGTTGTCACTCTGAAGGAACATTAATAAATGCTTCCAGAATATCCAAGGAGGGCAAGCCAGCTGCCTTTACAAAATATTTGTACAGATCTGTATCAGTTGATCTCTTGTGGCATATGCCAGTCCTGTTATTAAGAAAAAGCCAACTCTCCCAGCTTGTTACAAATCCACAAGTTCGGAGCGTTTAGCTCATTCTTCCTGATCCTGGAAAGTCATAAATTTTTTCTTTGAGGATAGAAGTCTACATATTTTTGGTGTACTATAAAATACTTAAGAGGATGGCCTTCCTTGTTAATAGTAGGAGATCTAGTCAATCTATGCATTGTGTATTATATATATCATAGCAAATGTTTCATCATAAACCAGTATAGGCTGTAAATATTCTATATTTAGTGTAAACAGAGAAAACTGAACATATCCTCTTGAGGTGTAGATGCCCCTTCAATATTACGAATACAGAAAAAATTTCAGTTGTTTTATTTTACCTTTCATTTAGAACATGCTTAAGTTCTTGTGAAAATCACAGACATTGGTCAGATTTGTTGTTTATTCGCATATTTTAGCACACCTGTAAACATAAAGGCATACCTACATTATTTCAGAATATTCTTATTTTCCCAGAGCATACTTAGTTCATTATCAAGTAGCATTAATATATATTGTATTAATTATATAGAATTATAGAAAAGGTTATACTATAATTATGGCAAAGGTCTAACTGTCCCAGAACCCAAGAAATACATATATTATAAATCTTCAACAGCTCTTTGGAGGTTTGAGGGTGAAAGACAAGGCCTGCCAAGGTTGTCACCTCTGAGCACTGGACCTCCAACTCGGGAATTCAGCCTGACGGAACGCTGGAGCCTGTTTATGGTTAAGAGAAGTGGATGTGTACTTTCAGTTATAAGATGAATAAGTTCTGAGGTCCAGTGCACAGCATGGTGACTATAATTGATAATATTGTATTGAATAATTGAAATTTGCTGAGAGAGTAGATCATAAGTGTTCTCACAAAAAAAAAGAGATAACTTTGTGAGGTGATGGACGTGTTAATTAACTTGATGGTGGGAATCCTTTCACTATGTATACGTAAATCATCACGTCGTACACTTTAAATATATTACAATTTTGTTTGTCAATTATACCTCAATAAAGACGGGAAAAAATAAAAGAAAAAGAGAAGAGAAAAAAATTAGCCTTTTGCTAGAAAAAATATAACTATTGTCTTATAATGTTATCACACTGTCATTCGTAATTATAAACAAATCAATATACAATTTGAAATAAGAAAAAAGGAATATAAGTATCAAGATTGATTAGTTTTCTTGTCACTAATTCGTTCGTTATCAACTATCAACTAGTGAATCTTGGGTTTCATTTCTTTCATCAGAATAAAGGTAATAATTACTCGATTCTGTTCACTCCCTGCACTGTTGCTTCCCCTGTTTAGGACTAGCACTCCTTGCTTCCCGTTAGACTGATATATATCAGTGTGAATATATTTCCAGGCCCTTATGACAACTGTAATAAAGTGAGATATTATTTAACGTATGATTATTTATTTAGTGTTTCTTTTCCCTGCTCTTCTGCAAATCGTATGAAGACAGGAAGTCTGTCAGCCCTGTTCAGCAGTGTGCTCCCAGGGCCTAGGGCACAAATGCTGCCCCGGAAGGCATTCGAGAAATATGTGTTGCATCAGTGATCAAAGCGAACCCATGCATTTGTGAGCACAGTTCCGGGTCTTTTCACTTCTCCTCTGGACTATAGCACTCAGCTCCTTACATGGTCCTGCCTATAGTCCCCCCTCACCCTGATTGCTATAGGATAGAGCTACCTGGACTGATAGTGGTGTGATATATATTGAATGGAATTTGAACCCCAGAAGCTTAAGCTTTAAATGCCCTTCACTTCCTTTCTTGTATTCACTGAGTGTAGGTAAACCCCCCACCCTACTCTCCGCAGTTTAGGACCCAGCCCAACATGAAGCTACAGGGAAGAAGCGAAGCTATCATAGTAATGGATGTATAGAAAAGGGTGATCCCATAATTATGGTCCCAGATCCCAAGGAACACCAAGTAACATTCATAGTCTGCAGCATGCAGAGTACTATGAATATAGAACACTCCTTTATGAGAGTTTCTTTCATTAGCTCCTTTCCCTATGGTAAACAGGTTGACTCGCAAAGAAAGCACTGTCTAAAGGTTGGCACTGACTCACTGGGTATGTAGAATCAAGTACAATGGACTGGCTCCAAGACTGAGAAAAGGGACATTTGAATCTAATACAGTCAGCAAGTAATTCCAGCCCTATGTAAGATATTTATAGAATAAGCTTTTTATTGAGCTATGAATTATCAAAATGGGCCCAATTTTTAAGAAATGAATATTAAATAAAAATAAAATGGCAGTTATAAAAATGATGATGACAGATACATTTATAGCATGTAGTATTGCCAGAATAATTTATAAATAATGTATGATTTCTTAATCAACTCTGAGATTATTTTAGATAATTCAGTGATGCGGTAAAGAATTAGGAATTGAAATGCTTGAGAGTTCCTGACTTTTTCAAAAAAATCAATCCTAAACCAAGTGCCACTGAATTAAATGTAAATTAAACTAAGCTTATGATAACAAAAGTGTATAAGCCTTGTGAGAATTCTAGAAGCAAAACTTTATAAAAAGGATCTTCTCGGGGGTGGCCCAGTGGCCTAGTGGTTACATTCCCATGCTCCACTTCAGCGGCCCAGGGTTCACAGGTTCGGATCCCGGGCACGGACCTACGCACTGCTCATCAAGCCATGCTGTGGCAGGCATCCCACATATAAAGGAGAGGAGGGTGGGCACAGATGTCAGCAAAAAGAGGAAGATTGGCAACGGATGTTAGCTCAGGGCTAATCTTCCTCACAGGAAAAAAAAAAAAGGATCTTCTCTACCTAAGTCAGAAATTAAAATGAATATCAACAGTGATGTCATGTTGCTAGCATGTACCTTTGAGATGAAGTGATGAAAATGGCGCCTTACTCCTGTGTTCTTCCTCCCCAAAACCCATCACCCTAGTCTAATCATGAGAAAAATACCAGGCAAACTCAAATTGAAGGGCATTCCACAAAATGCCTAACAAGTACTCCTCAAAACGTTCAAGGTCATCAGAAACAAGGACAGACTGAAAAACCATTGCAGCCAAGACAAGCCTAAGGATTCATGATGACCAAATGTGATGTGGGATCCTAGATGAGATCCTGGAGCAGATAAGGGACATTAAGGAAAAACTAAGGAAATCTGAGTAAAGTATGGGCTTTTTTGTTCGTAATAATGTATCAATATTGGTTCATGAGTTGTGACAAGTATACCATATGTAAGAGGTTAACAATATAAGAAACTAGGCACAAGGTATATGGAAACTCTTTGTACTACACAACTTTTCTGTAAACTAAAATTATAAACAGATATAGCTGAAAAAAGGATCTTCTGATATGGTATTTGCAGAGAAGATGCTTTTTAGTTTATAAATTATTTCCATAATTCGTGACTGTTCTCACATCTGCTACTATAAAATTCATTGCAGCTTCTCTGCCTCTTGGGAAAAAATGCATTTAATTATCAGTGAAATGCAACTCCAGCTTGTTATGATGAATGATTTGAACCTGTCAGCTTTTTTTCTCCCTAAAAACAAAGGAACTGAAATGAAATGCAGTTTTCTTCCTCTGCTCCCATCCTTCCACCTGCTTCATTTAATTGATGGAGATTTGAGCTTTTATTAATCTTTTTGAGCTCCTCTGTAAGATGCAAAAAAAGCTAATACGATATCATTGTATCTAGCTAATGTGTGTGCTTTGTGAAATGGATACACCCTGCCAAGACAGAAATTACTTAAGCTTTGATAAATGTGTTGAAATCAAGGAATGTTCAAACAGATAAAGCACAGCAATTCCTCTTTTTCGCCCTTTTTTAAACTTCATTCCGTGCTTGTGGTTAAATGTTTTTGCATTATTATTGTAATATGATGGGACAAAAGACAGCAGTGATATTGATATTAACATAAAGAGCCCCAGCAAATGCAAAGTAACCACAGGGATGCAGCATATGTTTTGTAGATAACATCTAACAACCTTGCCTTGGCCGGAGTGGTTTGCGAACAAGTTCAGAACCACCTACAGTCCTCTCCCAGCAAGTGTATCAGGGAAATTGTTCAGGAATGAGGGCACCTGTCAGAGTCTTTGTACTTTCAGCTCCCTTTGCTGACTCATTTGGTAGGTTGGAATCAAAAATCCACAAACACATTTTGTTGGCAAAGAGAGCTCACCTGTGATGATGATCTCACTATTATTCAGATGCCAGCAAGACTGAAAACACGAGGAAGCATTTGATTGACGTTCTGGGGTTGAGAAGGTTGATTTCTACTCGGTCATTAATTTATCATATGGCACTGAACAAGTTGCTTGATTAACCATTAATTAGTTTCCTGGAGGCCTGACAGTTCATATAACCTTTTGAAGACCATTCTTGAATAGGAGGCATGGGACTATCCATTGGACCATGCAAGAAGCATCAGGCATTGAATGCCTTTTGCCGGAGATTGGGCTCAGTAATTTCCATCTATTCTTTTATTTAATCCTTATAATCAACCAGCAAAGAAGATAGAGGTGAGAAAACAGGGGCTCAGGTCAAATACTTAAATGAGGGTGATGAGGTCATCACGCACCAAATCCTATGCTTTGTTCACCATGCTGCTTCCATACTGGGAGTGTATGGAGGAGTGGGAGGCAGGGTTGCGGCTCATCCAACCCCTAGTCGTCCTGATTAGGTCCCCTGGGATTAAGCTTGAGCCTTGGGGACTTAGCTCATACCACCATCCATGTAGACCTGGTGTAGGAGAGAGGGTCCTCTCAGCAGTGATGCATTTCAAAAAAGTATGCTGGGGGAAGGCTGAACAAGTTACACCAAAGAGAGAGGAGGTACAGTTGTCAGCTTTTTAAGACAACTAGAAATACATTTACCCTTTTAATTATACTATTCTACCAGTACATCATTATCTGATAGCTTGTTGAGATTTGGATTTAGATTTGGAAATCACCATTTGTGAGAACCGTCCATGTGTTTGAAAGTAATAAACAGATGAAGTTATACACAGCTTTTCTCAGCTTGGCTAATGTTGTTGTCAAAGCAAGTTAGCAATGTGATGGTCTAGGGCAAAGCAAAAAAATTAAAAAATATATATGTATATGTATATCTACTTTTTAACTCAGGAACTGCCAGTGAGTGTTTTCATTGGAAGAGAGAACAATTATAGAACTGTGCTATTACTTAAATTTTATTATTTTTTTACACAGACCAATCTTAAAATCAAGGGCTCCCCCCTTGAGCAGGTTTGAACCTGAAGAGCATTGTGTTAGAATATATATTTTAGAAATCAAATTCCATTGTAAATTCTCGTATGGAGAATCTTTTCTGAAGTGTTACAGAGCCTTTCTAAAAGCAAATAATCATGTAGATTTTTTTTTGCACTCATACTTCTGAGGGTGAGTCACATGTGTTTGGGTCATGTTCTGCTACAACAGAAATTATTACAAAGAAAATCTTTAGAATTTTTAAAAAGTCTCAGTAAATAGTCATTTATAATTATAATTATTATTATCATTATCCTTGAGTAATCTCAGAACCATCATAACCATAGCCCTTGAGATAAGAGGGATATCATAATGTCTATCTCATAATGAGGTCTATCATGTATTCTAAAATGCACCAATACCAGTTAACTTAAGACTGCATGATTGCAAAACTTACTTGTCGTTGAATGATGGGTTCAATGTTTATAGGTTTTCACTAATGGAAAAGTAAGGAGAATATTGGGCAAAGCAATAAATCAAGAGAAATGATCCAGGCAGAAAAAATTCAGGAAAATGTGTAATGTAAAACACATTTTAAGAAAGAAAAAAAAAAAAAAGAGCATGTGGCTGCTGGTAGCAAAGAGTGTTTTCCTGTGGGTGAAAAATATTTTTTATTGGAAAATGGACCTTAGTTCTGCTAAGACAGTATTAATAGGTAGCATGGTGTATATAGGTAAGAATTGAGAGTTTTTTAAAAAAGAAGTTAAAAGAAAAGATCAGAAGGGATTTACCCTGGGAAAGAGAGGAAGGAAGGCCAGAGTGAGGGAAGAAGCCAGGCAGTTGTATGAAATAGGGGAGTAGAGGTGAGGAAGTAAATGAGTTCTTACATACCGGAGGTTCTCAGCAAGTGGAAGGTGTGTCTGTCAGCATTGACCAAGCAAGGAACATCTCATGAATGCTGGGAACAGGTGAAAAATAGATAATAGACTCTGGACAACAAGAATCATAATTACAAAGAAGAGAAATTGGACTTTGCTCAGCAAGGGCTTGTTGTCTCTCCACGTGTCTTTGGCCCTCTCTCTGGAGAGAGGCCAGGACACATCACTTGGACCAGACTGCATCTCGGGTCATTATTGGAGCCAGTACTGAACTCCATGGGCTATTACCAATTGATTTGAATGAGGTTTGTGCACATCATAATTAAGAGTGATCAAAATAGAAACCTCTAGTTACAGTATCGGAAATACCCAGAATATTTTGAGCTAGAAATCCTGAGTAATGATCCTTCTTTTCCTGGTGAATATGCCAGCCTTTCAACACCAGGAGAGAAAAAGAAGTATCAACTCGGAATGCGTAAGCCCCTAGGAAGGGTAGTACAGATTTAGTTTCTCAAAATAGTAAGAATGTACATCATATCAATTTGCCCTTCTGCCAAACCTCGGTAATTTAAGTGAAGACAAAAGAATTTTTAAAAATACTGGAAATGAGAAAGAAAAGTCTTCAGGAAATTAATCAAAGAGGCCAATATATATTATGTACCCTCCCTCCAAAGCAAAAAAAAGAAGAAAAACCCACACATACATTGAAGTCCCTGGATTCCTACTCTAAAGTTACTTGGGGATGAGGTATAGGTGAAAATACTTTTCAGAAAGCTCTATTAGAACTTAAACTTCTAACTTTTAGGAATATATAGAAGACAGCCTCATGTTATTAACCTCTACCATATAGTCGAGTGCAATATTTATAATCCAGACTATGTCTTTTTTTTTTTCAAAATTGGATTGAAAGCAATAATTTTTGTAGTAATCTGAGACTAGTTTTACCAGGTGCTTTGCCAAGTTTGAAAGGATTGGAGAAACAGTCCACAAACACAGTCTCCCTTCCTTCCCATCCTTTTCATCACGCTGACAGTCTTCTGGAGAATCATTACAAGAGTGGTCTGCACCATTAGAGATAAGAGGCTATCTGTGTTTCCACTAGAAACCTCTGTTTTCCAGACTTTATAACTTATCCATAAATATTCACTCCAGGCAACAGTTTCATATATAATGATTCTGTCCCTCAAAATCCATATTGACTTAACTAAATGATTTTTAGAAATCATGAGGACTCACACTATGAAAGAATAAAAAGAAAAATCAAATGCAAATAAAATGCTATGTTTCAGTGGGTATGATTTGAACCAAAATACTGTGGAATCCATAAAACACATGCACGTAGCTCTTTATTAGCAATTCTATCTTTCAGGGTATAATTCAGTTGTAAATAAAATTTATTAAATCCTATACAGTCTATTAATTAATTCAAAATATATGTTTCCAATTTATTTGTTTCTATAAAGGCAACTAAATTTGAAATTTTATTTTTTCAACTAAAACTTTGTTAGAACTTTCTAATTCTATACGCGCTTCTTTTTGGTTACAGATTTTGAGATGGAATTATATCAAAAGCTATGAAATTATATGATATGAGCTTTTGGATATAATAATGTCCTTAATATTTCCAAATATGCTTAAGCGACTTATCAATACCTTATATTCAGATGGTTTCTAGCTCCTTGGTAGAATCCTCCAGCATTCTAGAGCTGAATTCTATCTGGAAGAAAAAACCTCACAAATTTAATGTTTTTATCAAATGAGAGACCAAAATATACCACTTCCCCCGATCTGGAAGGATAGAATTGTAAAGATTAGGAAACAGAGACTAAAACCACATCAACCCATTAAAATGAAATACTCTCTTCTTAATCTCATCATTTTAATTTTTGTACTCACAGTTTTACATTGCTTGAATTCAATGCTCGTCTTATTACACTGCTGAGCCCAACTGTGCATGTGAAATGCTATTCAGCAAGAATCAAAATAATATTGCAAGAATTTTCCTTGTGCTTTGTGGCTTTAGTGTGTGTATGCTCAAAGCCTTCCCTAAAGTTTGTTCCTCTTTCTTCTCTTCACACAGCTATTTTGTGACAGTAAAAAGGTGGTGCATGCCACAGAGGGGCTGGATTGGGAAGACAAAGATGCTCCAGGGACCTTGGTCGGAAACGTGGTGCACTCAAGAATCATCAATCCTCTGCGCCTGTTTGTTAAACAGTCTCCAGTCCCAAAGCCCGGACACTTGGCATACGCGGACAGCGTGGAAAACTTCTGGGATTGGCTGGCCAACATCACGGAGATTCAGGAGCCATTGGCAAGAACTAAACGGAGGCCAATAGTAAAAACAGGAAAATTTAAGAAAATGTTTGGATGGGGTGACTTCCATTCTAACATTAAAACTGTTAAACTCAACCTCCTTATCACGGGGAAAATTGTTGACCATGGAAATGGAACCTTCAGTGTTTATTTCCGACATAATTCAACAGGCCTAGGCAATGTTTCAGTGAGTTTGGTACCCCCCTCCAAAGTGGTGGAATTTGAGGTTTCCCCGCAGTCTACCTTGGAGACCAAGGAATCCAAATCTTTCAATTGTCGCATTGAGTATGAAAAAACAGATAGGGCGAAGAAGACTGCCCTGTGCAACTTTGACCCATCGAAGATCTGCTACCAGGAGCAGACTCAGAGCCACGTGTCTTGGTTGTGCTCCAAGCCCTTCAAGGTCATTTGCATTTACATTGCTTTTTACAGTGTTGATTATAAACTTGTGCAAAAGGTCTGTCCTGACTACAATTACCATAGTGAGACTCCATACTTGTCTTCTGGCTGACTCTTCCCACAGTGATAGAGACGGAGAATGAATATGTACTTAATTAGAACAACCAAGAACCAACCCATCTCTTCATGGTAAAGGATCCCTTTTGTTTCTGCCAGTGAACCTTAGTTTCCTATAAGGTTTTCAAATTAAAAAAAAGAAAAAAAAAGAAGAAACATCTTTAAATGTGAAATGTGTTTGTTTCAATCATAAGTACCCTAATCTAAAGAGTCAAACTGTTTATGAAGCATCACTTTCATGTAGGATGGCTAAGTCCTCGAAATGCTGTTGTTTCTCTAAAAGAAGCATCAATGGTAGCAACGTGTAACAAGAAAGAACCGAATTATGCATGTGATAAAGTTTGCTCTTGAAATGAGCCTGCCTTTGAAATATGTTTTGGAAGGTTACCTTAAAAATAGCAGATTCAGTAAAGTAACTGAAAAGATTGCATTTGATAGATGAATTGCATTTCTGACATTGAATTCTTTTTTTATTGCTGCCTTTTCCCCCACATCTGTGCTGTTATTGGTATGAGAGATGAAGGGGTAAAATTTGTTTCAAAACTCTTGTGAAATTACAGTGCAACCGTGAAACTAAATACATTATTATCTGAGCTCGAGTTGAGTGGAACATGATTTAAACAATTAGCCCCATGTTGGTCACCATCCTTAACATTCTCATCTGAGTAGTAATATTAGTATATCAGGAAAGCAAATCTGGATATATTATAAGTCAGTTCAACAGTAATGAAAATCATGATACTTTTAGATTCCTTTGCCTAATTCAATGCTGTGAGATTGTCAAAAATATCATAAAATCTATATAACTTATAACCTCATTCTATAATTTGAGAGTGTGATTTTATATACATGTATAAAACAACTCCGAAATTGAGAGAAAGTGATTGCTTCCTAGGCTGAATGGAAAAAAATTGGAAGTGGAGAGAGGAAGTTCCAAGACTATGGATTCATCATTTCCAGCCTCCCAGATTAAGTTCTCCTTGCATTTAGTTAATTATTTGAATGAGGGATCAAATTCTATGGAAATAGTTATATTTAAAGATTACTAATTATTATTAAGTGCTAATAACCAAGATACCTGACTCACCAGGCTTTTGCGATTACTTCCAAATTAATGTTGCTTCATAGTCAGTGCCCTTCTCATATTTTCTAAGGGGTGGACGGTCATCCTGTATCATGGAACTGGGTGATCTTTGCATTAGCACAGAGAGAGGATCTGGCTGACCAGTGAAAAGGTTTCTAGAACTTGTAAGACTCATGGAGTGGCTACTCTTTTTACAATAGAGGTTAACTTTTTTCCCCTCCTATCTGTAAAATATCAGTCCAAGTAACACATTAAATTGAGGACTGAAAGAAGACCAGTCCTAATCAACAAAAATGCTCTGACCACATTGTTCAAAAAGCCAACAGCTACATTCTCTGTTTTGCATCTCCACTCCTTTCCTTTTACTGGTGATCGCTGCACAGTGTTTGATTTTGTCTTTTGTAAAAATTGTGCTAGGCTTAGTGTGTAGTAGTACAGGCTTGAATTTTTTTCTCTGAGTTCATCAGGTGCTTTTGTAACTTTGTGGTTGGTGTGAAATATTTTAAGACATCTTTTGATTTTCATCTAGAAACAAGATTAAAATACTATTTATTGTAAAATATGTGGGAACCATACATGTATATATACTTAGAATTTTCTGTGTACAGAGAAAGAATGTGTACACATTTCTATGTAAATAAAAGGAATTTGGTAAATCTGTCACATGACTTCAGAGTTTTGTTTTGTTTTTTAAAGACTGTTTTCCTTGTTTCTTTTCCTCACAAGCATTTATTGTGTGTGTGTGTGTGTGTGTGTGATATCGACTGAACATTATGATTTTCTGTATGTACATGTTAAATAGAGCAGCTTAGAGATTACAGAGTAAAAGGATTATTCTTATAAAGCCCTTGGCATGTAACCTCACATCTAGTAAGATCTCTATAAGTGTGAGCTGCCATTATGATTGCTATTATTATTATGACAACATGAAATGCAATTTAAAACTGTCTGATGTTGGGGGCCAGCCCAGTAGCGTAGTGGTTAACTTTACACTCTCTGCTTCAGTGGCCCAGGGTTCACGGGTTCAGTTCCCAGGTGCAGACCTACACGATGCTCATCAAGCCATGCTGTGGCGGCATCTCACATACAAAATAGAGGAAGATTGGCACAGATATTAGCTCAGGGACAATCTTCATCAGCAAAAAGAGGAAGATTGGCAACAGATGTGTTAGCTCAGGGCCAATTTCCTCACCAAAAAAAGAAAAAAAACTGTCTGATGTTCAGAAGTTGAGTGATGTAAACATTATGTCCATACAAAGAAAAAAACCCTGTAAATCAGTTTACACAATTCTTAGATTTTAGCAGGGTTTGTGGAATTTTAAAAAAATAAAATTTCCCTAGGCATATTTTTTAATTGGAGTAGAACATATGCCATGTATATTTTTAAGTCATAATTTCATCTCAAAGCCTGCATGATTGTTAGTATTGGTACATGGCACAATATAAATCAGATCTCATTTAAACATGCAAATGCACACATTTCTGCAAAACCATTTTTGCCTTTGAGTACTGCAGTTGAGGAAAAGGACATTCACATAAGTTAATTTTACATAGAATCACGAATTGTTCAAAAGTTAAAGGAAGAGACCCTCTTAAAAATGAAAATTAAACTAGTAGATTGAACACCTGAAACTAAAATAATGTTATATGTCAATTATACCTCAATAAAAAAAATTTTTTAATTAAAAAAAAAACCACTAGCAGAAATTTAATACTCAGGGAGATGTCAGGCATCTTCTCAGGGTCTCTGTAGGCCTGCTGTTTACTAGAAATCACACTAGTTTGAGACCTTTTCATTCCTCAGCAGAAACAGTCATTTTATTCAACACCACAGAATCAGAAAAGAGACCATATTTTCATAACTAAGAACAATGTCGTTGCACCAGCCACAGACTCTGTAAAATCTGTAGAAGGGAAATGTGAGAAAGAACCTGTGGACATCACACAGCAAAGCAGCAATCAGTAAAAAAGAAACAATTTTCTTCTTACTGCTTGGTACTTGAAATTTCAACCCATTCTCACGACCTAGGATAACAGCAACAAGGAATCTGCTTCTCTGATATGACCACTCATAAGAGCACCTGGTACATATTACATTGTATTCTTTAATCTTTATTCTGCAACACCTTTCTTCTTTACTTTATATGATCCAGAAGCTACATGCTACATTTTAGGCACGATTGCTACATTTTAAACAATCCACAACTGGCTAATTCTGTCTCTGTTCAACACATGGTTCTGCAAGGTTGGAGCTGTCATTATGGCTGAGAGAGCCCTGCTGTTGAAAGTGTTGTTGGCAGATCAGCAGTATTACTTGTAAGCTTGTTAGAAATGCAGAATCGCAGGTCCTACCCCAGACACACTGAATTGGAGTTTTCATTTTAACCAGATCCCCATGTGACTTGTATATACATTAAAGACTGAGGAGTACTTCCCTAGAAAGTCTGATTTAGTAAATGTGCTGTAGGGATTAAGAATCTACATCTTCAATAAGCGCCCTAGGTTATGCTGGTTCAAATGGACTTCTGACAATACTGTCAAAAAAAAAAAGTTAAAAGAACAGACCTTTTTAAAACTGAAAATTAAACTAATAGATTAACCAAATCAAGAAAAGTGATATTAATATATAGAAGCGTAATATTTCAAAGAGAGTGCAGCCTACATTATCTTCCAGTTCAGCCCCCCTCATCTGAAAGACAAGTAAAACTGAGGCCCCATCGGAGTGAAGGACGTGCCCAGTAGGAAATGGCAGATCCAACCGAAATGCAGGTCTCTTGACTCCTGGTCCCAGATCTGGTGTTACATAAGGAAGGTAAATTGAAGCAGATATTCAAGACAAAACAAAAATAATCGCAGTGAGTTTATAACAAGACATCCAGAAGCTAAAACTAAACATGGAAATGCTCTCACTCCAAAATCTTCAGGATTGTAATTTCTCTATGAACACAAATTTTAAAAACTAAAACTATAGAATTATATCCAAAGATAAGAGTCCTTGGATATATTAGAGGTATGAATGGCTAAGAATTAACAGCGGTAGAAAACTACATTTGGCAGAGTTTTCAAGCAGTTGTAACACCTGAGAATATATTTTCAGAGAAATAGGTAAATTGTGTGGAATGCCTCAATTTCCTGGAGATCCAATTTTGCCTCTTAAAGAATCTTAAATTAATCAATTGGCCTATAAAGTAGAGGATGGAATCATGCATTTTTCTTTCAGTGAAACTATAGTTAACCCAAGTTAATCAGAATTTTCAATGAATGGAAATTTAATATCTCCAATTGTAAGAGACAAATCACAGAGAAACAAGCTCATATTAGAGATTTTTTTTCTTCACAAAAATCTTGTGGAAGGTATTCAAAGGTCATTTCATATTCACTTCGTTTCCTACCCCACACTGCGAGGTCTGCGACCCTGGGAACATACCTCGTTCTGCTTCATTGTTAATCTTCCCTTTTCTTCTTCCAGCTCAGCTGCCTCATAAAGAGGCTGTAATCTCTTCTCAAAAAGAATGCGTTAGCTTTGTGTCCTCTGTGGCACCTGGCAAAGTAGATACCTGATCAATACCTGTCACTTGATTTCTTAAAAATTTCCAGTGCAATACAGTGTTTTTTCAAGACTCACTCTACCCACGTAACATAAGAGTTACCTTGTACCATCTCCAACATGAACACGTTGTTCCAGCGGAACACAACACCCACTGAATGTGAGCTCCCAGAGCCAGAGAAACTTAAAAGCAGGAAACAATTTTATAAACCATGTAGAAAAAGTTTTGTTTATCAGATCAAGAATTGGAAGTCTGATGGGGTTTAACAGCCTGGTTATTCTTATTGTTCTTCCTGCCTGGGTAAATCCATTCTTTCTCTTCTTTATTCCTCCAAATCATTGATGTTCCATATTAGTGATAGAGACTGTCAGCTGTCCAGCAGAACGGACCCTCCTCCTTCTCCCATTGCAATGGAAGAGTCAAGAAGGTGGCTAGCCAACTAGATTGCCTGCCCCTGCCTCTCATGCAGTGAGGTGTGGCCTTGTTGCCGAGCTACAGTTAATGGAATGTGAGAGGAAGGGATGTGTAGCCTTCCAGGAGTTGACATATAAAAGTGTGCTCATGCTTCCCCGTGCTCTTTTCCCTTTGGCTGTCTTAGGTAGATATCCTGAGGGACCTGAGATGCTGCATAGTGACGGAGGCAAAGCAAGTGCCCATCTGAGTGCCTTGGAAGAGAGCCACTCAGCATTATCACCACAAGCCCACCTTGGACTGCTACATGAAAATAAACAAATATATTATTCTTTAAGTTGCTGAATTGTTACGATGGATTTGTTATTACTGCACCTTAGCATGACCTAACTAATACAAACATTGCATAAAATCTCTCTCTATTGCTCTAGCCGCTCTGATCTTTGTCTATTTGAATTATTTCAGTCTATGCTAGGCATTGCAGTAATAATTTCATATGCACAACTTTTATCTTGCCTTACTATTTATACTCCTTCATGTGTTCTATCATCCACAAAAGAAGTAAGTTCACCCAAGCCAGAGATCTAAATTTTACACTTTTTTGAATGTCCCACGATGTCCAGATAAAACTATTGCCTTTTAAGTGATACATACATTATGTTAAGTTGCATTAAAAGAACATAGGAAGGGGCCGGCCCCGTGGCTCAGCGGTTAAGTGGGCACTCTCTGCTGCTGGTGGCCCGGGTTCGGATCCCGGGCACGCACCGACGCGCCGCTTCTCTGGCCATGCTGAGGCCACGTCCCACGTACAGCAACTAGAAGGATGTGCAGCTATGAGATACAACTATCTACTGGGGCTTTGGGGGACGAAAAATAAATAAATAAAATTATAAAAAAAAAAAAAGAACATAGGAAGTTATTTACTTAAAAACATTTGTTTTACAAATGACCCCTATAAAATAAATGTTGAGAACTCTTAAAAGATAATAAAACAGCAATGTAAGAATTATGCTAATTCTACTTCACCTACTAAGGGAAGTCTTTATTTTTTATTAGTAATACACTTACATGGATTCATAAT